CCCCCCCCCCCCCCCCCCCCGCGCCCACAAGGCACTCACAATTCTCTTGAAGTTCTTCTGCCAGATGGCAACCTGGTGCAAGATATCCATCCTGTGGAGAACGAACAGGATGTGAAAGGCCCCCCTCCAACTGAAGTCCTCGCCACCTCACGAGATGCAAACAGGGGCTCCTCCCTTCAGTGCCAGGGCCCTGTGTGATCCGCCCCTCGGCCCCATCTCGCACCACCTCCAGGCCCGCTCCGTCTCCATTCTGTGAGATGGGGTCCAGCCTCCACGCCTTTGCGCTCACTGTTCCCTCTGCCTGAAATGCTCTTCCCCTGGCTGGTCCCTTCTCGGCCCCAAACAACATCTCCGAGAGGAGCCTCCTTGCTAGGAAGAGGGCCACCTCTTCCTGCTTCTCCCAGTAACTTACTCTCTTCCTAGGCTTCCAACTTACTCATTGCCACCCTCTTTATGGGCTGCTTTGCCTCTCTAGCCCTGTGACCCCATTCAGTAGACACTGGTCACAGGCGTGGTCATCGATCGCCTGAAGTGCGGCCAGTGCCACGTGTTGCAATGACAATACTGTAGACGCAGCAGGTTAAAGAAAATAAATCCTTGTTTCTTCCTTTTTTTTTTTAAACGTGGCTACTAGCAAAATCTAAGTTATACGTGTGATTGACGTTACGTGGCTACATCGGACACGACTGCCAGGGTAGTCTGCCAGGGGTTGGCAAACTATGGCTAGTAGGCCAAATCTGGCCTGCTGCCTGTTCCTGTCAATATGTTTTACTGGAACACAACTCCGCTTTTGCTTACAAACTGTCTGTGGCTGCTGCTGTGCTCCACCACAGAGATGAGTAGTTGCCATGGGGACGTTATAGCCTGCAAAGCCTAAAATATTTTCCTATCTGGCCCTTCACGGGAGAAGTTTGCTGACCCCTGCTCTAGACTGTAAACAACATTGGCAACCTTGGCGCTCATTCACTGCTGTATTCCCAACACCTAGAATGGAATCTGGCACATAGCAGATGCTTCCTAAGTATTTATAGAATAAGCAAAATATGTTGTTGTTTTTTTTTTTTCCAACGTTTTTTTTTTTATTTATTTTTGGGACAGAGAGAGACAGAGCATGAACGGGGGAGGGGCAGAGAGAGAGGGAGACACAGAATCCAAAACAGGCTCCAGGCTCCGAGCCGTCAGCCCAGAGCCTGACGCGGGGCTCGAACTCACGGACCGCAAGATCGTGACCTGGCTGAAGTCGGACACTTAACCGACTGCGCCACCCAGGCGCCCCAAAATATGTTGTTTTTAATTTCTTTAAGTTTATTTATTTTGAGAGAGCGCATGGGGGGGGAGGGGCGGGGGGAGAGGGAGAGAGTGAGTATCCCAAGCAGGCTCTGCCCTCTCAGCGCAGAGCCCAGCTCAGGGCTCAAACTCACGAACCACGGGATCATGACCTGAGCGGAGATCAAGAGTTGGATGCTTCACCAACTGAGCCACCCAAGTGCCCCATGTTGTTTTAAATTTAATTTTGTCACCCTCTACTAGATTGAGACTTTGAGACTCTGGAAAAGTAGGGGGCAAACCATACCAATACCAGTAATAGTAATAAATAAACAGCACTTATCATGTGGCAGATATGATGCACTTCAGAGGTATCATATGCTTTAGCAAGCCATCACCCAGCCCAAGGAGTCGGTCCACACACGGTTGAGATCCTGGCTCTAAATCTTACAAGCTGTGTGACGCCAAGCAAATTTCTTAACCTGTCTGTGTTCTCAGTTTTCTTATCTACAAAGCAGGAATAACTGAACCCAGGGTTGCTATGATGGTCTGCTTAACCAAACTGCAAATAGGCTATTCCAGGCACATAGAAAGGGCTTAACCATCGTCCTGCTCATTTTTACAAAACTCAATTAACAGCAATGATAATCAATGTATCTATAGAACTTCTGCTGTGCCAGAATTAACTCGCTTCATCATCACAGCAAACTCTTGAGGTTTCACAGAATGGGGACACTGAAGCATAAGAGGGGAAGGCAGGATTTGAACTCAGTCACTTAACTCCTCGGAGATGTTACCTCTTAGATCTCAACCTCACACAACTCTGTAGCTGGGAAAATCATCATATCCCCCTTTGGCAGGTGGAAAAACCGAGGCTCGAGCCCAGATCATCCTGATTCCTAAAGCCCCGCGTCTCATCCCTCTGGCACTCAGTTCACCATTTCACTCACTCACCTGGGCGCCGTGGAGAAAACGTCGGGGTGCAGTTCGGCCAGACCCACACGTTCCTGCTGGTAGCCCCGCAGGGACTCCACCCAGGCCTGCACCGGACGCCGGGTCGCGGGAAGCGGGAGCTCGCACCTGCGCAGCACAGGCGTCTGGGGACCTGAAGCGATTGGGAGGTCAAGGGTCAGGACCGAGCGTCAGGGCTCCCGGTCGCCGCCCCTCCTAGGGCGACCCTGACAACCTCACCCGCGCTAACTACTGCCTCTGGCTTCGCCACCGGGTGCACTGCCTCTTCCGCCAGCGCGTTCAGGCCCTGTAAACCGTGCACGAGAGTGAACGACGACGCCCGGAACCTCCAACCTTTGTCCTCCCATCCCGTCCCCAGTCTCGGGCCTCACCCGGCAGCCGGTGGGCCGAAGCCAGGCCCGCGCCCCGGCCCGCACTAGCTGCAGCATTGTCCCGCAGCTCCCCACGCGGAGAGGTCACGGCTCCTCTGGGTGTGCGCGACGCCCGGTGATGACATCACTCCCACGACACCGCCCACCTTGCTCGGCTCGGCGCTGGAAAGCTGAGTGTGCAAGAGCGAAGACGGCGGGGCCTGGCCCGGCGTGCCTCCATCTCCGCCCCAAGACTAACCCCCAAGCCCCAACTTTCACGCCTGGCCTAAAGGACCCTCTGCGACCCCTGGAAACGCGACTTGCAGCAAATAGCCGCGCCCCCTCAACACGCCCAGCCCTTCTTTGGGGGTCCCGCCCCCTAAGAGCAGGAATCCAGCCAATGAGACCTCCGCGCCGAAAGGCGCCCTCCTCGTTCAGCCAATGAACGTTAAGCCTGGCAAAGTGGCCCCGCCTATGGCTGGGCGGTTCTGGGGCAGGCTTTAAGAGAACATGACCAATAACCGTTACCCTTTTGGTGTCGGTCACGCCCCCCATGCCCCTCCGCGTCCCATGTATCTTCCTAGAATTTCTGAGGTGGTTTTGGGGTTTCCGATAACGTGCTTTTGTGTGTTTAAGTGCAGGGCCTTATCTCCCACAGAAAGCTCTTAGGACTGAGCCTGTGGGACCGTGCCTCTCCTCTCAGATCCCCCAGAGCAGGGGTATGTTCCCTCTCAAACCAAAGATTAGGTCTGTCTTCTCCGCCTCCTAGGCCAGGGTGCGGTCCACTGTCAGACCGCTCTCCGAAAACGGAGCGAACTGGGGAGTCCGCAGATCCTGGATTCCCTCCCTCGTTGCGCATCCTTACAACTGAAACGCAAATGTTCATTTTTAGGTTCTTGGCCACTTTCCCCGCGCGACCTCCAGAGGGCGACACGAACCCCTCGCTTCGCTGCCTCGCCAAGGCTGAACACCCGGCTGCCAGGGTGCCCTGGACCAGGAGGGGAGCTCAGTGGCCTAGAACGTGGTCTGGGAGCCAACCTCAGTTTCCTCATCTGGAAAATGGAGAGGTCGTGAGACTTCAATGAAGTGTTGAAGGCCAAGCCCTCCATGCCTTGCACAAAGTGAACACTTAAAGGGGTATTATTATTGTTATTATTATTGTTATTGAAGGTAAGTTTTGTCATCAAAACAAGGCAAGAGCCAAGGCAGGGATGAGGGGGACCCCGGAAGACTTGAATGCTGTGCTAAAGATGTGGGCGCTTTTTTTTTTGTTTTGTTTCGCATCTGATATGTATCATAGATATTTTTGTGTCATAGCAACAAAAATTTACAATGTATTTCATTGTGTACTTTATCCCTGCTAGAATAATCGTGGATGTGAATTTAAAGCACCACCCACCTTGTAATTGAAAAAGGTCTTTAAATCCTTCGTGTTGTAGAATTTTATTCATTCATTTTATGTTTGTGTAGGTGACTCACACACCGGGTAAAGAAAATGTGAACAATTACAAGAGTATAACTAGAATGAAATGTCTCCTCCAATCTCTGACCTCTGCCCCTCCCTGCCCTCTCCCAAAAGCCGCTACTACAGCTATGTGTCTCCTCCCAGAACCAGTTTATGATTTCAAAGGCAGATTTACAAGTCTGTCCTCTGCCGGGAAGTTTGGGTTTCATGTAGCAAGCGATGGAACAGTACTTAGTTGCTTAATGATTTCTTAGGCACCTACTGTGTACTGTGTAGGTAAATCCAGCAGACATTAAGATACAGTGCAGTGCAGAAAGACTGAAGAATCGAAACAGGGGAAGGAAGATCTACAGGGTCTGTGGAAGCCCAGAGGAAGAAGTCTTCACCCCTGGGGGCAGGGATCTCAGAGGTGAATTCCCTAAAGCTGTAACCTGAGAGCTAAGGTTTGAGGGTCCATCAGGAGTTCATCCAGAGGAGAAAAGGTGTTCCAGACTGAAAAAACAGGATTCCAAAGGCCAGGAGTGGGGAGAGAGTGGCAGGGCTCAGAGGCGGCCGGCTGGACCTTCCTGATGGCAACTCCTTCAAGTTGAACCCACTGCGGGGCCTTCACACTGTTCCTTCATCCTGGAACATACTTTTCCCAGGGCTCCACATGGCTCTATCTCTCACCTCCTTCAATTCTTTGCTCACATGTCACCTCCTCCGAGAAGCCTGTCCTGAACACCCTATTCAAAACTGTAACCCCCACTCCTGGCCCTTATCCTGTCTTATTTTTTTCTCACCAGTATTTATCTTCTAACATCCTCTGTAATTTCCTGGGTTTTCATGCTTTTTCTCTGTCTCCTCCATTAGAATATAAACCCCCAGGACAGAAATTTTGCTCTGTAACACAGTAGGGGCTCAGGACGTGTTTCTTGAGTGGATTCCTTTCCTAATCATCCTGCTGCAGGGGTCTTATCAGAAACAGAGAAAGCCCTCCCTTTGTCTCCTGGGTCTCAAGATCTCCATTCCCCCGGATGCCACAGGCACATAAGGTACAAGAAAAAAAAAAAAAAAAGATCATTTACCCAATGACACTGTAGTCACATAGACACAGGTTCAAATTTAGGGGGTGTCGCTAGTTGGCTGGGTGTCCCTGGGCAACTGGTTAGCTCTTTCAGAATTTGGTCTCCTCATTCTTATAAGTGGGGTATACACAAACCCTTCTCTTTTCTTTTTTTTTTTTTAATTTTTTTTTTCAACATTTATTTATTTTTTGGGACAGAGAGAGACAGAGCATGAACGGGGGAGGGGCAGAGAGAGAGGGAGACACAGAATCGGAAACAGGCTCCAGGCTCTGAGCCATCAGCCCAGAGCCCGACGCGGGGCTCGAACTCACGGACCGCGAGATCGTGACCTGGCTGAAGTCGGACGCTTAACTGACTGCGCCACCCAGGCGCCCCTACACAAACCCTTCTCTACAGAGCTGTGTGAAGGATCAGAGTTCTCTTTCCTTCCCTCCCTACTCCCCACAGTCTTTTTCCCACCACAGAAGGAGGCTGGAAACTCCTGCATCAGATCACGTCCCTCTGCTCAGAACCCTCTCTCTAGGCCTCTCATTTCACTTTGAGCAAAAGCCAAACTCCTCGCTGCAGCCCACAAGGCCTTGCAGGTCCTGTCCTCCCTTCCTTCCACCTTCACCCTTTATCACTCTGTGGTTTAGGCCACAATGATCTTCTCACCAGAACCTGTCAATCTGATGCCAGCCTCAGGGCCCTTGCACTGCCGCTTCCCTCTCCCTGGACCTCTCTTCCTTAAATATCTACATGACCCACTCCCTCACCTCCTTCACATCTTGACTCAAATACCACCTTCTCAGGTGACATTGGGTCTAAGGTCACTGTTCCCTTCCTACCCCACGTTCCTCATATGCCTTCCCAATATCATTGTTTCTTGTATATCTTCCACATTCTAACAGATCATATCATGTTCTTCTTTGTCTTGATTCTTGCCTCCCCCCCGCCCCCGCCCCAACACTAGAACATCAGCTCCTGGAGGACCAGGTCTTTATTTCTTTCACTGCTGGGCCTCATTGCTAAGAAGGGTGCCAAGCACCCGGTATGTTCTCAGTACATAGTAACGGATGGAACCAACGTGGTGTAGAGAAAGAAGTTTGCACAGGAATCCCCCACCAGCCTATTGATTGTGAGCCTTAATGAAAGAGAGGTAATGACCTTGAGACCTGCATACTGCAAGGCTCAAAGTTTGACCATTTTGGCCCAAACCTGGGTGGAGGTCAAAGGTTGATGTTTCTAGCCCACTCCTGTGGATCAAAGGCTCAATTGCAGGTGACCTCTGTCCCCAGTGGCGTGTGGCAGATGTCAGCCTTGCAGCCCAGAGAGGATCTCTGCTGGCCATGGGCATGATAGCAATTTAGGGAGCCTACACTGGAAGCTGGAGGACTCCCCCTCCCCCAAACATCTGGCCGTTCCTAGTCCCCCAGGACTGTGCAGGACTTTTCACAAAGGCCGGAGGTCAAGGATGGAATATTGGGGGCAGCTGTCAGGAGGTGCAGGTGCAGGCTTGATGACGGGGCCTGACCTCCTGGGGAGAGCTGCTCCCTCATCACTGCCAGAACATCTGCTGTGTGTTCGTTTGCAGCTCAGTTTGTGGGTAATCGCCAAGCACCACAAGGAGCAGGGGGAGTCTCCCCTCGCAGCACGCCCCACCAGCCCCTGGGGATGGGCCTGATTTGCATAGACATTTCCATTGCCTTCGGTTCCCTTCAGTTGGATCCAGATGGGAAGTAGAGCAGAAAAAAAGGGGCTTGAACCCCTGGGCAGGGCACCTGCACTCTCCAGGCCTCAGTTTCCTCCTCTGTAAAATGGGACTATAATTACTCTTCCTCACGTGGTTTGTGTGAGCCGTAGGCCTGTGTGCCCTCAGATCATCCGTTCCCTGCTCTGCTGGGCCCCACGGCTCAGGGCTGCCCCTCGCATACGCCATCTCCTAGCCCAGTGGCTTCTGCTCAGATTTAGCCAACGGCAGGCACTGAGGGGAGATCGGAGGGCGGGAGGACGGGGGCAGGGGGACAGGGTAATTCTCCCCATCTGCTCTGGCGGCTTCTCCCACTGGACATGGCCTCCCTACCTGCTAATTTCTAAATAGTCTAATCCTTTCCCCAACTTCGGTGTCTCATCTATGTAACCAAGCCCTGTGCTAAATCCCCTCTGTCTGAGATATTTCTAGTTTCCTGCGTGGACCCTGACTGATGTAAGGCAGCCGTGAGGCATTCGTGTTTTGTTTGTTTTAAGATGCAATTTATGTGTACAGTTCTTCAAGCTCCCACAAACATACATAGTCACACAACCACTACCACAATCCACATACAGAACTGTTTCCACTGTGCCCCCCTCTTTTTTGAAGTTTATTTATTTATTTTGAGAGATGGAAAGAGGAGTGGGGGAGGGGCAGAGAGAGAGAGGAAGAGAGAGAATCCCAAACAGGCTCCCTATGGTCAGTGCAGAGCCCGATGTGGGGCTTGAACTCACCAATCACGGGATCGTGACCTGAGCCGAAACCAAGAGTCGGGCCCTTAACCAACTGAGCCACCCAGGTGCCCCCCCCCGACCTTTTTTAAATGTTA